AAAAAGACCAAAAAAAATTTATGTATATAAGTATTTTGCTTGCACATAAATAAATGCACCTGTGTCATGCAATGCCCAAAGAAAAGGGCACTGGATTCCCTGGAACTGGAGTTAAGGATGGTTGTTAGCTGCTATGTGGGTACTGGGAACTGAACCCAGGTCTTCCTCAAGAGCAGCCAGTGCTCTTAAACACTGATCCATCTCTCCAGTCCCTTTTTTGGCTTTCTGAGGCAGAGTCTCACTCTACATCACAGTCTGGCCTTGAACCTGCAATCCTCCTTCCTCTACTTCTGGAGTGCTGGGATTACAGCTGTGCACTACCACATCTGGCTCCATAAATTACACAGGTCTTAGTTTCTAGAGTTTATTCCACTTATGAAAATTCAGAGAGCTTTAAGCTCAGACATCTGAACATTTTCATGTGGTTACTAAGCTTAAAGTAAAATAGGTTAAAAAGAGGCTCATTTCTCTTTCAGCAAGGTAACACAGGCCCTGGCTTTTTTCTATCTTGCTACCCCATCATCCTGACCTCATTTGAGCAGCTGAAGCAGTTTCGGCTGCCTGAACTGCACTAGTGGGGAGTGACCTGAGGCTCATCCTAGACACACATTCCTTTCAAGCCAATGGCAGAATAACTGCACATCATTCCCATGCTGTTCCATGGCATGCCCAGCCGGAATGTACACTTGACTAGGCAGCCCATGCTAAGATGTGCCAACTCCAGGCAAACAACTAGAAATTTGCACTTTTTTTGAGGTAGGTTGTCTATAGGTGTAAGTTGGCCTCAAACTCACTATATAGGCAAGAATGACGTTGAGCTCCAATCCTCCTGCCTCTACCTCCCAAAAGCTGGGATACATGCATGCACCACTATGGCTGCGTATCGCACTTAACGAGGAAGCTGCTCTTTTTATTTATTTATTTAAATGTGTACGAGTGTTTTGCCTGCATGTGTGTAAGTATACCATGTGTGTGCAATCAAGGTCAGGATCCCTTGGAACAGGAATTAAAGACAGTTGTGAGCTGTCATGTGGGTGCTGGGAATTGAATCCAGGTTCTCTGCAAGAGCAGCCAGTGCTCTTAACCACTGAACCATCTCTCCAGCCCCAGTGAAGTTGCTTTGATAACTGTCCTCAAAATGCCACTCAAATAGAGAGGTCCATTTTCTCAGTGCCAAAGGACTATAATCTCCAAGGGACCTAGGTTCTATACTTTGCTGGTAACTCCTCTGTCAAATTGAAGACCATTAATAAACCACCTACTATCATTAATTTATAAATATATTTAAATTATGTTAGTAAACACATGAATTTGTTTCCATTTTAAATATATAATTGACCAGATTCTAAGGACTTACTTTCTTGGGTGGTGGGGAGTCAATTGTCTGGAAAATTCCTTTGTATGAATGTAGAGGTCAGCATCTAAAATGAAGAGTTCGATAACTTCAGCAGGAAGCGTCTTAGACACTATGAATATTCTAAGTAGTAGATCCTAAAAGACTTAAAAACTTCCCTATACATGCATTTATTGTTTTTGTACTTACAATACACAGACAAGGAAATTAGGCCCAAGGCATATATATGGAGTGCCAGTGTGCTGGATAGCTTTAGTGTCAAAAAGCTTATGGTTTAATAGTGATGTGTTTGTATGTCAAGTTGACAAGGGGTCAATTGTGCTGGACAGCTTTAGTGTCAACTTGACACACCTGAGTTGACGGAGCCTTAGTTGGGGAATTCCCTCTATTGGACCGGCCTGTGGCCATGTCTGAAGGGCATCTTCTTGATGAGTGATGTGGGAGGGCCCAGCCCACTGTGGGTGGTGCCACCCCTGGGCAGATGGGCCTGTGCTGCATAAGAAAGAAGGCTGAGCAGGGGCCAAGGGAGCAAGCCAGTAAGCAGCGTTCCTCCATGGCCTGTGCTCCAGTTCCTGCTTCCAGGTTCCTGCCCTGAGTTCCTACCTTGGGCTCCCTGATGAACTGCGACCTGGGAGATGTAAGCTGAATAAACCCTTTCCTCCCCAAGTTGGTACTTGTCAGAGTGTTTTGTCACAGCAATGAAGAAACAAACCAGGACAGCCAGGAAGCTGTATTGGTACAGAATGTTCGGCATAGACTCGCCACAGGCCCACTGTTTCCTCAACTTTCCCTTGCACAGCAGCATGAAGAGGGAGACAAGGAAAATGGCTTCTGATGACTGGAACCAGGGACAGGCAGAAGCAGGAAAGATAAATGTGAAATCACTCTTTGGCTGGGATTTCTCAGAAGAATTACAAGGCCTCGGCTGCCTTATCTGGGGGCTAAAGGAAGGACTCCACTTTCCCTTAAAGAACATATACTTCTGAGTATCTGACTGGGGAGACTCCCATGGGCCACACAGGCTGACCTGAGCATGCTGCCCTCCTCATTAAAGGGCGTTCAATGGCTGGAGTCATTTGATTCCATCCTTCTTCTGTGTCCTCTATTGGGACATCTCCCCCATTCCCAGGGGCAGAGGTGCAGGGAAGATGTGTGGGTGCATAGTTTTATTTATATAAATGGAAATATTCGAATCGCAAAAATATTTCTTAGCCTCAATCTCAGGGCCTCTCTGCATTCTTGTGCATGGTCTGGCTTGCTAACTCCTGTAACTGTGGGCAGTGTCTTGGTGCTGGCTGGCCACTTCAAGTCCCTCGGTCCTTGTCTGCATGCCCCCTCACAGAAGGCAGATGTCAGGGAGTTCTGGCCTCCCACTCTGCCATTCAGTGAAAGCCAGGGCATTTGCCACCTTGCCCTAAGTGGCTGAGAGCCAATTAAGTTCCACCTCATTGTCCTCATCCACTTCTTCTGTAGAGCACACTATTCTTATCCATCATGCTGATTTCAGAGACATTGTGCCTTCATGGAGACATGGAGCGCATCAGTTCACTGATCCTGGCTCATGTTTTCACTCCCAGACAGGCCTGCCACTCTTATACCTCCAGATCATCATTTTGAGAAACAATTTCTTTTGAAGAGTAATTCCAAAAGCTCACTAAAACTGAATTCTATTCAGATTTACCTGAGATCAAGAAATCTATAACTAGTCCATGTTTCTAAGCCTGAATTTACCCAAGCCTCCTGGCTCACACCTATAATTCCAACACTCAGTAGGATGAGGCAGAGGACTGCTGTAAGTTCAGGGTTATCCTGGGCTACACATTGAATTCTAGGGTAGCCTGGACTACAGACTGAGACCATGGCTCAAATAAACAAACAAAACACCCTGATTTTTGAGCCAATGGACTTAAACTGATTTCTAACATTGATACCCTTTCTAAGTAAACCTAGCAAATAATTCCAGCCTTACACCCTACTCCCCCAAGATGTGGAAAAACACGAAGACACACAGGAGGGAGGGACCATGGCTTCATATTGCCCATCGAAGGTCTTTTGGCTTCAGAAGGCTGCCACTTCCTGCAGTTCCAGCCCTTGACTGTGGTCCACTCTGAGTAAGTGAACTCCTCTGTGGAAACTTGAGCATAGCAAGGAGGTGGTGTCACCAACTGCCAGGGAAGTCAAGGGTCCTGATCCATCCAAAGACAAGGTGAAAAGGCAGGCTGGGGGAAGAAGAGGAACCAGTAGGTTAGGCCAGGAGCACAGTCCAGCCATATCTTAATGATGGAAAAGATTTGGGGAATGTATCATTAGGCAATTCTGTCATTCCTCAAACACCATGGAGTGTGCTTATGCACAGGCAGACAGTATGTGTACTATTGCACACCTGAATCTCTGAATGTGGTCTGTTGCTGACCAAAACATCATTATGTCATCTGTGGCCATATCCTAAGAACTCCAGAAAGCAGAGCCTGCACTGTTCAGACAGAGAACAAGTCAGGGCTAGGTCAGAAAAACACAGCGACACTGATCTGGGGCTTTGGGCTCTCTTCATGATAAAGGAGAATGGGAACTAAAGGCAGGCTTGGGGTTTGTTTCCAACTGAGCCAGTCTCCTACTGTCTGCAACTTTGAAGCCACTCTTCTAAGACCCTCGGTGCACATGCAGGTCAGGGCATTGGTGCCATCTGTTCAGGTCAACACTTTGAGACTGTGCTTTTCCATTTTTTAGGCTTGTGATCATTAAATCTGAAACATCCACTTTCTCATGCCCACAACTGTTATAACTGGGCAGGTAAGGAAGCCAGTTCCAGGTGAGGGCACAGCAGGCCTGTCCTCACTATATAAATTTGGTTTATGGCCATAGATGTTTACAGAGTAACACTGGAGATGCTCCCACCTCTTTTGTCTGGGAGGGTACCTATCTCCCCCTGAGGAGAACTGAGTTCCTTGAAGGTGGCTATAGAGTTGAGTTCAGTTCTCTAAATTAACACTATTCCTGTCTCTGGCCAAATCCTGCATCCAGGTCAAAACAACATAGAAGCAGTGCTGGTAAACACTTCCTGGAAGAAGAAAATCTAACACTTATTTGCAGCATTTGTCAATTTTCATGGTATAAACACCCCACCATAACAGAATTTCATGCTGCCAAAAATGTTAAATACAGAGCCCATGGCTAGAGAGACGGTTCAGTGATTAAGAGCACTGGCTGCTCTTCCAGAGGACCTAGGTTCAATTCCCAGCACCCATATGGCAGCTAACATCTATCTATAACTCCTGTTCCATGGGATCTGACACTCTCTGCTGGCCTCTGCAGGCATTGCATGACACAGGTACACTTACATACATGTAGGCAAAACACTCATACACATAAAATAAAAAGAAGAGGAAAGAAGGAAGGAAGGAAAGAAGGAAGGAAGGAAGGAAGGAAGGAAGGAAGGAAGGAAGGAAGGAAGGAAGGAAGGAAGGAAAATTTAAAATGCAGAGCTCATGCTGGGCATGGTGGCACATGCCACTCAACACTTGGGAGATAAGTGAATCTCTGGGAGTTTGAGGCCAGTCTGGTCTAAGTGAGGTTCCAGATCAGCCAGGGCTACATATTGAGACCCTGTCTCAAAATAAGTAAATACATAATTAATTAATTTAAAAATACAGCTCACAAAATTCCTGAGCATTTAACATTCAACCAGTAGGCACTGGCTCTAGCACATGAAGGACCGTGGAAAGTCATGTTCCACAAGATACTGGTTTTCTCTGGTGCTTTGAAGTGGCACCTTACTGTGACCTGAAACCCAGCTTGAGTCCTGACAGGCAGAGCCTTTAAGACTGTCCTTACTTTATCACAATCCCACCAAGATCTGAGGCTCTCATTTTATCCTTTAAAAAACTCAAAAGTTCTTGTTCCATTTTCCAGACAGTCCGAGTGTCAGTTAAAACCTGATAAGGAACTAAGGCAGAAAGACTGTAAAAGCCAAATGCATTTTCTCTGAAGTCTCAAGAATGACTCTGTGTATCTTGGTATGAGGGATGCATGGTGCCAGAGGTTGACCAGACATATTTGGTTATCTTGGTGTCTTGTCTCTTAACTACAAGGGGATTTACAGTGGCTGGAGAGGGGTGGCTTTGCACATGATAAGAAGTAGAAAGAGTTTTAAGGCCTCGTATAGCTTTTGAGAAGCACTGAGTGGCTGCTTACCTCCAGTATCTTGGTTCCAGATCTTCACCTTGGAGTCGTGTGCTGAGGTAGCAATCATAGGTAGCAAGGCCAAGGATCTTGGTAGGAAGACACAGGATGCAACTGTCTGTAAATGTCCCTTGTACTCACATATTCTGTCTCTTGTCTGCCTTAGGTCCCACAACTGCAAAATAATGACATGGGCCAGCTCATACACACACACACACACACACACACACACACACACACACACACACACACTCACTAATATCCATCCTTCCACTCCCCAGGACCCACCCCCCCCCAAAAAAAGATGAGCGGTCTTAAGTCTCTATGAACTGTTATAATGCCCATTTTACAGGTGAGGGAATAGAGAATTATGAGCAGAATTTTTTGGTGGGTCCTGGGGAGTGGGAGGATGGATATTAGTGAGGGTGTGTGTGTCTGTCTGTCTGTCTGTCTGTGTCTATGTCTGTATGTATGTGTGTATGTATGTATTCCCCTCCATCTATGTATTTAGGCAGCCAAATGAAGCTCTTATCTTCATCCACTATACCCAACCACCCATCCATCCAGTACTAATTTTAGCATCAACTATGTCTCGAACAACACTGTCTATGGATATGCCAGAAGGGTTGCTACCTTTTCCCTAATTAGGGAAGCAAAAGCTCATAATTCTGCAGTATGATGGAACAGTATGGGTTTCCTCATTTTCTGTGACAAGCACATATAGGTTCTGTGGGGACCCCGCAGTTAAGAGCACCTTCTCAGATGTACATACGGGTGCAGACACTCTAATTTGCTGCCTAGTGCCTCCAATAAAGGAAGTGACAGTCCTGCCAGTTCTACTCTTATTGATACAGATCAGACCACACGAGGAGAATAATGCTCAGCACAGAGAGCAAACTGAATGGTGTCTAAAAACAATGAGCTCACAGGAGACAGTGTCATCTCTTATCCAACTTGGATAAGAGATGCTACATCAGAAGCTTGCATACCCTAATCTATCACTTCTAAGGGGTGTGGTCCTATATAAGAGATTTCAACTTGCCATGCCTCCATTCCCTCAACTGTAAGATGGGCATTATAACAGCACCTAACTCACAGAACTTATTTTAGGGATTAAATGAAGTCATGCATGGAACCTTCCCAACATAGCGTAAAGGTATGATAATCTCAGAGCTGCAACTGTTTTTGGAAACTAGATCATTATTTTTACTGATAATCTGCAATTATGAACCTAAGGAATTTTGGAGGAGCCTAAAGAGTATGCGGAAATTACTGCAAGGAAGGTATATGGATAAAGGATGGGGTAGGCCCTGGACCAACTCTAAGGTGCCATACTTCCCCTAAAGAGCTTAAACTTCTTTTATCCTAGCCACATGTACAAAGAGAATCCATGTGGCTCTGCAAGCAGTCCCTTGCTTCTGTATGTAAGTTCCACTAGGAGGAAGGAAGTTGGGGCATCAGCAGCCAGCTGTGTTTAATTCTTCTCTATCCTGACTCCCATCCCATGTCTCTTGTCTACTATGAATTCAGAGTCCCAGGTTAACAGATGTTTCCTTTTTCTTTTCTTTTTTTTTTTTTGGTGCTGGTTTTTTGAGACAAGGTCTCATGATGTAGTCCTGGCTAGCCTGGAACTCACTATATAGATCAGGCTGGTCTCAAACTCACAGAGATCTGCCTGTCTCTTGCCTCCTGAGTGCTGGGATTAAAGGCATGCACCATCACACCTGGCCCAGTAGATGTTTCTTAAAAGAAGCAGCTGGAATGCAAAGGGCCATTCACAGTATGCACTTGAAATAGACCTGTGCCTTTTCAGAGCCTGTCTGCATGGCTCCTCAAAAGGCATGAGGGAGGCCAGGGCAGCCTATTCATCAGTGAGCAGACATCTGACCCCAGTCTTACTGTGGCTTCACAGCCTTCACCCCCAAAGCCACTGCTGCAGGAGATGCATCTGTGTCCATCCACACTGACTTCGCAATGGGTCTGGATGTGCTGCTTTGTGGGAAACATGTGAGCTATCTGAAGCCTCCGACTGTCCCATAATCTGAAAGGAATTAAAGAAGAAAATAACTTTGTGGTCAATGGGACTGAAACATACCTGTGATATCCCATTACTATGGCTCTTTGCTGCCAGTCAGAATGGAATGTCATAATTTACCAACTCTAAAGCCAACCGCTGCCACCTGAGTTCTTTCTATTTGAGATCTATTGAGCTTGGAGAAGAGATGCTTCATTCAAAGCTTGCAATACCCTAATCTACCACTTTTAAGGGGTGTGGTCCTGTGAAAGAGATTTCAACTTGCCATATCTCTATTCCCTCAACTGTAAAATGGGCATTTTAACAGTTCATAGAGACTTAAGTCCACTCATAAGACCACTCATTTTTTTTTTTTTTTTTGAGACAGGGTCTTCCTGTGGCTCCATTTGTCCTAGAACTCACTAGATAGACTTGGTTGGCCTCAAACTCACAGAGATCCGCCTGCCTCTGCCTCCCAGGTCCTGGGATTAAAGGTGTGTATGACCACGCCCAGCCTTAGACCACTCATCTTAGTGGTCCTTTAGGATACTGCTTTCAATGGACAAGAAGCCAATTTTATGCCTATGACTTAAATTTTTCAAAAAGATACTTGACTGTTGTTTTGAGCCAGGTCTTGCTATGCAATCCAGGCTGCAATCTTCCTGCCTCAACCTCCTGAGTGCTAAGTCCAGATCTACTGTGCCAGCCAAAAAATAGTTAGGAGTGAGCCATCATCATCCCATGTTCAGAACTAGGCTTTGACCGACTTTGGCCTTGGAGTCCACTGGAGAGCGCTGTGCTTTGCCTCTCGTCTCAGTGTTACCTCTGTATCTCACTCCCATTTTCTAGTAAAAAAAATCTCTTCTGAGAGCCCAATTTTTTTTTTTTTTTGTCTTTTTGAGACAGGGTCTCCCTGTAGCCCCAGCTGTCCTAGAACTCACTATGTAGACCAGGCTGGCCTTGAACTCACAGAGATCTGCCTGCCTCTGCCTCCCAAGGGCTGGGATTAAAGGCGTGCGCTACCACGCCTGGCCTGAGAGCCCAAATTTTGAGCCATGCTGTCAGTCTGAGAACTGTGAATTTTGTGACTCCCTGACCTAGATTCTGCTTTCTCAGAGGAGACTGATAGCTGGGAGACTGGAAACCCCAGGAGTCAGGCAAGGCATGAAAGCAGAGCTGGGCAGCCTGCCAGGTGGACCAGCAGGTGACAGTCTGAGGCTAGTCTAGACACATACACACACTGGGAACTGGCTGGGGCAGCTGCTTCAAAGCATTCTGAGCAGGGCCTTTTCCTGACCTATCTCGGACACACAGTCTACCCAGAAGCTCCCGGGCCCAGAACAGAGTGGTCCCAGCAGCAGCCAGCAATAGAGAGCTGGAAAGCCTGAGGAGGGCACAACAGCATGGAGAGCAGAGTAGAAGCAGAGTCATGTAAGCACGGGAGCCACAAACCTTCACCAGAAACACTTCCACAGCGGCTCAGTAGCCCACCTGATGGTCTTATCCTCTGAGGTCTGCAGTATATATGACTCTCTGGGGACCCAGCACAGGTGAGTGACCTGGAGCAAACAAAGTATTGAGCATGTCTCCATGTCAGGCCATGCCTCTGCTGCAGTTCCACAGCAGTTTGATGACCCACATCCCTCACCTCCTCTCAAGGATTCTCAACTGTTGAGTTTGGACCAGTAGGGACATTGTTCCATGGCTGGCAGTCCTCTGCCTGTTCATCTCCTTGCCACTCGGCAGCCATGGCAGCAGCAGGCTGGCTTTGTACTGCAGATGCTTGCGGTCAGTCTTGGAGTTCTGAACCCCAGCCAATGGTGGTAGGCAGGTGACAGCCACAAGAGCAGTCCCTGTGCTAAGCAAGGCCTCTTGAACTCTTCCTGTAACAGCTCAGGGGTTCATAAGAGTGGCACAGGTCCTTCCTGTCCCTGCAGCTCTGACTGAACAGCATGAAAGAGTTTTCAAAACAAGCTAGGGAACAGGATTTTGCTTTCCTCAGCATAGCATCTTCACAAATAGGGCATGGGGCAAGTGCATCTTGCCATTGGCAGATGTCTTCAAAACTAGAGTAGCTGATGACTAAACTCTGACAACCACTAGAGGAACATTTGCCATGTGTCAAGAACAATGACAGGTGCTTCACATACATAGCATCTCATCTAATCATCTGAAGAATCTTGCCTAATGACATCTCTTTCCCCACATTATAAATGAAGACATTTACACTCTAAGAGCTTAAAATAACACAATACAGCCCTTAAAGCTAATGAGTGATAGATTCATGGTTTGATGCCAGGGCTGGGAGTATAGCTTAGAAGTACAGTGTTTGCTTAGCAAGTACAAGGCTTGGAGTTCAAAACCCAGCATTGGAAACAAATGAAAACAACAAACCAAAATAAAAAAAAACCAAAACCAAAAACAAACCCCACACAAACACTTTTGGAAGCCAGTGTGACTGATCCCAAAGGCGATGCAAATTCTATACCACTCAACTCCTGCAGAGCAAAGGTTGGACTTATTTCTCTGTGTGATGCTACATATTCAGAGAGCAGCCACCTCGGTGTACATAAGCCTTAGGCTTCTGCAGGACACGGCACTGTGTCCTCTGTCATATTTCTATTCCTAACAGTGTCTGACCTACCAAAACTGTGGAAAAATTACACTTAAAAATTTTTTAAATTTATTTTTATTTTATGCGTATAAATGTTTTGCCTGCATGTATGTAAGTGAGCCTGTGTTGTGCAATGCCCACAGCAGACAGAATAGGGTGTTGGATCCCCTAGAACTGGAGTTACAGTTGTTAGCTACTCTACAGGAACCAAATCCAGGTCCTCTGCAAAAGCAGTCAGTGCTCTTAATCATTGAGCCATCATCTCTTTAGCCCACCAAAATTTGAAGAAGTAAATGAGGATAACGCTCTCTTTGCTCCTCCCTCTCTCCTCTCTCTTCTCCCCAGTGACCCCTCTCCACTGAACCCAGGCCTCCCTTATGCTAAACATTCACTCTTATCTACCATAAACGAGGCCCTAATGCCCTTCTCTCACCCCATGCTCCCTTCCACTGCCCTGTTTTATGACACCTCCGAATTCATACCAGATTCCTGGAGACACTTGCTCTCTCCACACACTGTCCAGTCCTCACGTCCCACAGAAGCAAGCTATTGTCCCGAGAGCCAGTGCATAGCTGTGACGAGTCTTTGAAAACAATGGTGAGAAAACACAACAGCCATGAGCTGGGATGTGCACAGGGGCTTAGGGAAAGCACCAAGGTGCTGGCAGGAGATCTGCTTTACTCTACCTGGACTCATAGCCAAGCCGGTGACCACCATGGCATGGCCAGACAGCTGCTGCCTGGGCTGTGAGGAGCCATGCAGGTCCCACATCATGACAGTCCTGTCTCGAGAGGCACTGAAGAATTGGCTCGATTTGGGAATACAGGCTATCTGCTCAGAGAACAAAGAAAAGCAGAAATAGGGCAGGTGTGTGTGCTAGACTAGACTTTAAAATTAGAAGATAGCTTTGTATACCCCTCCCCTGGTGGAGACCACTGCCCTCTTTGAACTCTTCAGAAAGCATGCAAAATTGCCAGTAGCCAAGATGTCTATGATGGCAGAGCTAGACAGGCAATTGTGCAGTCACAGGTTCTGAAGTGCAGCATCCCATATGTTTAGATTATAAAAAACTATGCCTTGGGGATGGAGAGATAGCTCAGTGGTTAAGAACACTAGCTACTCTTGCAGAGGACCCGGGTTCAATTCCCAGCACTCACATGGCAGTTAACAACCGTCTGTAATTCCAGTTCCAGGGGAATCCAACATTCTCTTCCAATCTCACTAGGCATTGTACAACATGGGTGCACTTACACACATGCAGGCAATACAGTCATACACACGAAAATAAAAATAATGTTTTTTTTTAAAAAACGATACCTTATTTATACTGTTGTATGAACATTTGCTCTGTACCTTACAAACAGGTCACATTTTATTGTAAATTGTTTCCTGAGCTCCTGCAGAGAAATGTCCTTTCATCTGTCTACCCTTTGTTCCTAAATACCTGTTTAGAGCACTCTACCCCTGAGAAGAAAACCTTGAAAGTTAGAGACTCAGCGTTCTTTGTTCTAGGGAGCAGGGAGCCATCTTTCCTTAATATTAAATTGTCTTGTGTGTAATATTTTATTTTATATCTTTTTTTGGGGGGGGTCTTTTTGAGACAGGGTCTCCCTGTAGCCCCAGCTGTCCTGGAACTCACTATGTAGACCAGGCTGGCCTTGAACTCACAGAGATCTGCCTGCCTCTGCCTCCCGGGTGCTGGGATTAAAGGCGTGGGCCACCACACCTAGCTTATTTATTTCTTAAAATATTTTATTATTTTTATGTGTATGTGTGTGTTGCCTGCATGTAGGTAAGCGCACCCGTGCTGTGCAATGCCCGTGGAACACAGAAGACGCTTCCGGATCCTCTGGTACTGAAGTTACACACAGTTGTTAACTGCCATG